TAGGACATGCAAGTTTTCCTGTAGTACAAAAAATGACTGAACACGCAGAAGGTGTCAAAATAAAAAATTGTGAAAATTATTTGGAATGCTCAGTATGTAAATCCACTAAACTAAAAACTAGTCCCAGGCCAAAAAAATCCAACAGATCAACTAACAAAATTTTTGACTTAGTACATATGGACTTAGTTGGTCCATTAACTCCATCAATCACTTATAGAAAACGTTACTTCCTAACAATAGTAGACGATTACAGTCGCTATGGTTTTGTTTACACATTAAAACACAAGGATGAAACCTTTCAGAAATTTAAGGAATTCTACAAACGCATAGAAACACAACATAATATCAGAATAAAACAAATTATGACAGATAGGGGATGTGAATTCATGTCTAAAGAATTCTCCCAATGGTTAAAGGATAGAGGAATGCTACATTTCACGTCTAGTCCATTTTCTGCATTCCAAAACGGGATTGTAGAGAGAAAGAATTCCACACTACAAACCATGATTAGATGCACATTAGAGGATGCTGGTTTAGGCAAACAATTTTGGTCAGAAGCCCTACATTATTCAAATTACACTCAAAATAGAACCTGGTCCAGTATTGTGAATAAAACACCATATGAGGTGATGTATAATAGGAAACCCAAATTAGCACACATGCACATATTTGGAGTCACTGCAGACGTACACATACCTAAACAGTTGAGAAGAAAGGGAGAAAACGTATCCAGAAGATTAAGATTTATGGGATATGAAACTGGCACCAAAGGGTACAGATTCATTGATAATAGTAACAAATTTATAGTCTCCAGAACAGCTGTGTTCCATGAACAAGCCAATTGGTCTAAATTACATCTTAATGAAATATTTCCAAATAAATGCAAAGATACAAAATCTTGTGAGGAAGGAACAATAGAAAATCAAAATGTCAACAAAAATAAAAACAAAACCAAAACTTGGACAAATAGTCAACACAAAATAAAGACAGACACATTAACAAAAAAGGAAGCAAGATATTTGCATGACAACCATAGCAAACCTGAAAGAGCTATTAGAAACAATAGAAATCAAATACCAAATAAATACAGAGATTACATAATGCATATGGATGGTGAACAAATAACACCTAATACATATGAGGAAGTATTAAAACTCCCTTGTGAAGAAAAGGAAAAATGGGAACTAGCCATGAAAAAAGAGATGGAAAGTTTGCAAGGATTAAATGTATTCACACCTGCGACTGCACCTAAAGATAAAACAATTATAGGTACCAGGTGGATTTATAAAATTAAGAATCTAGAAGGAGGCAATACTCTATACAAAGCTAGATTAGTTGCACAAGGTTATGCACAAAAGTATCCGGAGGACTATACTGACACATATTCCCCCACAGTGAGAACAGAGAGTGTTAAAACAGCTCTGGTAGTGGCATCTGCACTCAATCTTGATGTATTTCAATATGACATACAGACTGCGTATTTACACGCAAAACTAGATAAGGAAATATATGTAAGAGCACCACACAGTCAATACACTAATAAAAATGAAATCTGGCTATTGAACAAGAGTCTGTACGGATTAAAGCAATCTGGCAAAAGATGGTACGATTGCTTAGTAAAAGTACTTAAGACCATGGATTTTAACGCTACCACTGCTGATAACTGTTTCTTTGTAAAAAAGACTGATGATCACATTGAATTCGTATTAATTTATGTAGATGATATTTTATATATAGGAAAACACAAGGAGAGAAGAGAAACATTTGTAAATAAGCTAAACGAACATTTTTCGTTGAAATCTCTAGGTAAAGTAAACAAATACCTTGGTGTACAAATTAACAAAACTAGAAGGGGATTCAAACTTACTCAGAAAGATAAGATCATTGAACTTCTAAACAAATGCAATTTAAACAATGCCAAACCATGTGACACTCCCATGCAAACTGATTTCCTTAGAAACACTGATGAGTCTTCCCCTGAATTCAAGGATAATACATTTTATAGATCAGTCATAGGTTCACTTCTCTATATATCTAATTGGACCAGGCCAGATATTGCATTACCTCTCAATTTATTGTCAAGACATGTTAGCAAACCAACAATGTATCATTGGGAAGCTGTCAAAAGAATTCTAAGATATCTGAAAAGTACATTAGACTTTTGCTTAGTATTAGAACCTAGTAATGACAAAAAACCAAAACTTACTTGTTACGCAGATGCGGATTGGGCTGGAGATATATCATGCAGAAAGAGCACTTCTGGTTATATTTTTCTATTAAATGACTGTCCAGTTTACTGGTACACTGGTAAACAAGAACTGGTAGCCACTTCAACCACAGAAGCGGAATATGTTTGTTTGTCCAAAGCTGCAAATAACCTTGTATGGTTTAATGATTTGATTTCAGATGTCTGGAAAAAACCTGCTTTGCCTTTTGTTATGCATGAAGATAATAAAGCAGCCATTGAAATATCCAGATCCGATGCCATTGGACAAAGGTCCAGGCATATAGATATAAAGTTTAAGCATGTGAGACAATTGTCTCAAGATGGATTTATCAAAGCAGTGCATTGTGATACCTCTGAACAATTAGCTGACATATTAACGAAGCCTTTACCTTCTAAACAGCACAAATATTTAACTTCTAAATTATATGTCTTATATTGTCCTGAATCTGAATGTAATTGGTGTTGTATAGCGAACCGGCATTTAGAGGGGGATTTGTCAGATGTAAATGCCTTATTCCCTAATGTGTAAATAATGTATATATGGGACATCGGGGGTTAACTTATTCTTTGGTTTTTAATGTATTCATAATTCACCACTCCCATTCTTGACTCCGCCCTCTGTATATATAAGGAGCCACCCTCACCATTTTCATTGCTTCTATCTGTGAATATTCAGTGAATATAGAATGCCTGTTATAATTAAAAAGAAATATATTTAAACCTCTAACTCTTATTATCATTATTGAGTCTGATCCTGAAAATATTGCAACAATTTTGTTTGTTTCTTTTGACAAGTCTTAAGTGCAAGTAAATGATCGAATTGATCTGGGCAAGCCATAAGGAGAGAAACAATGAATTCTTCCTAAATCCAATCAGCCTGTAGTTCACAACTTGCATTTATCAACATGCTGTGGCTATGTCTTATAGCAAGGGTGTCAAACTCGATTTCTTTGAGGGCCGCATCAGGGTTGTGTTTGACCACGGGGTGGGTGGGTGCAGTGAGTGTGGCCAGCTTGACATCACTTGTGTCGGGGGCACCTGTGGTGGCCCGAGATCTTTGCCAATGAAAATGGGCTCGTGAGCTTGGTTTTCAGCTGCAACAGCCTCCTGCAACTCTCTGCCAGCGAAAACGGAGCTAGTTTTCTCTGACAGAGGCACCAAAGGCCAGTCCTTCGCTGTTTCCAGGCAGCCGCATGGCTGCATCTAAGCACCCTGCAGGCCAGATCCAGGCCCTGAGCCTTGAGTTTGACACCCCTGTTTTATAGCAATGCAATTATTAAGACTTGTTGCACAGTCAGCCAGATGTTTAAGTTGAATTTGGCATTTTTATCCACCTATTATTATTATTGGTAATTCATGATTAAATTCACAAATTCTGTTGGAAGCATAATCATTCAAATCCTAACCGATGTCCTAACCAGGGGTGGGTTCTACTTACCTTTACCACCGGTTCGCATTGCTCCCGCACGCTTGCTTCACTGGTGCATGCGCACGCTCTTCTGTGCATGCGCAGATCACGTATGATGACATCCGGGTCAGTGGGCGGAGCCTCCTGCCGGTTTTACTACCAGTTCTTGCAAACCGGCCCAAACCAGGGGCAACCCACCACTAGTCCTAACCTATTAACGTAACATCTGAAAATACAGGCAGTTCCTAACAGAATGTCTTTTTTGTAGAATTATGGTATTCAGGTCCAATGTGTTCAAAATTTCCAAATATCGAAGGAATCCTTTAGGTATTTCTCTGAAAGCTGCAATCATGATTGGTATAACAGTGCATTTCTTTTCTGTAAGCATTCAATTGTGTGAATAATTCACACAAGAATATACAACAAAATTGAGGAATGTCTAAGTAACACACAATTTGGTTTCAGAAACAATCTTGGTACACGAGATGCCCTATTCAGCATTCAAGTTCTTGTACAGCACTGTACAGATGTCCATCACATGTGCTTCATCGATTTTGAAAAAGCATTTGATAAAATAAGACACAGCAAACTCCGGGTGCCGTCAGCTAGACAGTGTCGGCTGGCGACCCCCAGGGGTAGAGCGCACCCACCCTTTGGAATCAACTTCCCCTGGGGCTCCGGTTGGCTCCTGACCTTCGCACCTTCCGCCGCGAATTAAAAACATGGTTGTTTACATTGCCCAGCCTGGACTGAGTAGCTTTTTAGATTTGGGGGTTTTTAATATAAATTATATATTATGTATTTTATACTTTTAACTTGTTGTTTTATTGTTGTGAGCTGCCCTGAGTCCTCGGAGATAGGGCGGCATATAAATTTTATTAAATAAAATAAAATAAATAAATAAACTATTACAAATCCTGAAACAAGTGGGACTAGATGACAAAGACATCCGAATCATAAAGAATCTATATTGGCATCAGGTAGCAAATGTGAGACTAAGCCAAAAATACTCAGATGATGCAGAAATACGAAGAAGGGTCAGACAGGGCTGTATACTGTCTCCGCTGTTATTTAATATCTACTCTGAGTCAATTTTCAACGAAGCACTGGAAAACATTGATGCCGGCCTCAAAGTAAATGGTGTTCAGATCAACAATTTAAGATATGCTGATGATAAAGTTCTGCTTGCCAGTAAGCATGAAGATTGTCAGCTCCTCATCAACAGTCTCAGAAATATCTGAAAAATATGGCTTGAAGCTTAACACCTCAAAAACCAAGATCATGGTGGTCAGCAAACAACCCATTAATTTACCACTAATAAATTCAGAAGGAATACCATTAGAAAAAGTTGAAAGGATCACGTACCTCAGTTTTAATTTACATGAAAGCTGGGACATGATCAGTGAAGTTAAGACAAGGATAGAGAAAGCTCGAACAGCATTCTTCAAAGTGAAAAAGGTCTTCTGCAGTTACGACATAAGCCTAAAACAGAAAATCAGGCTTATCAGATGTTACATTTTTTCTATCCTGCTCTACGGAGTAGAGAGTTGGTTTCTGACAGAAAACCACTTGAAGAAACTAGAAATATTTGAAATGTGGATTTACAGACAACTGTTACGTATAAGCTGGGTTAACAAAATCACAAATGAGGAGGTGAAAAGCCGCCTGGGAAAGCAAAGGGAAATAATCCAAGCCATTAAAAAACAAAAGTTAGAATATTTTGGACATGTGATGTGACACCCAGAAAAATACGGCATCCTTCACTTAATCCTTCAGGGAAAGATTGAAGACAAATGAGGTCCAGGCAGAAGAAGAACATCATGGCTTCAAAACCTAAGGGGCTGGTTTGGACAAAACTCAGCAGCACTTTTTCATACGGCTGTTGACAAAAATAGGATTGCCAACATGATTGCCAACATCCGATGACGGATATGGCACAAGAAGAAGAAGAAGCATTCAACTTCAATCTACAAGTCTTGTTATTTTTTATTTTTTTTTCCAAATTACATTTTTTCCCTCAATCCTAGCATCATTCGTTATAAGTAACATCAATGAATCAGGCTTTGTTTTCAATAACTTGTATAGGCATGGTATGAACAAGGAGCCTGTCTTTTTGGATCTTAAAATCCATAAGAGCTCATCCATTTTTCAAAAACCTCTCAACATGATGGTCCCAGTGGTTCTTGCTATATTCAAATCCAAATTGTGGGAACTTGGGTCATGATGCTTCTTGTAATCAGTTTATGTAATTTGGGTGCAGCCACTGTTCGGATGGTTAGTTGTTTCACCCTTTTTACCACAAAGGCAACATTTGCCTTTGTTTCTTACATGCTCAATGTTCACTTTCATGGAATTAGTCAATAGAGCTTGTCCTTGAGCTGCGAAAATAACCCGTTCAGTTTCTTTCTTTTACACTGATATTAACCAACCTCTTATGCGCTTTTTATTGACTTTTCAGTGTATTGATCATCCATTGGCTTGTCCTTCCACTTAACAAATTGGTTATCAATTGTTTCATTTCTATATTCAACCTTGATTGAACTGATTCTGTATTCAGCAATGACTGAAGTGATTGAAGTAAGCCATACAGAAAGAAGCAGAATAAATTCTGCCTAAATCTAGAGTTCTACTCTTTTAAGCAGTCTGTGTAGTAGATCCAAGCCTGCACCCCTTCCCTGTGACTCTTATTTTTTCCTCGCATTATACATAATTAGAGCTATCATTTTGCTAGAAAAGGAGAAAAGCCTGACTCCATTTTTGCCTCTGTCATGCATAATCTTATCTCATATCCCAACCTTCCCTTATCTTTAAATTAGAAGGTTTAATCTTTCTTGGAATTAAAAATATAAAAATACTATAGTTACTATACACTTTTCTGTATCTTTCCCAGCTGTGCTAGATATTTTTTTCATAATTAGTCATTGCTTTATTTCTGGGTTGTTTAGCCAAAGGCTGACATGTCAGTTAACCACCATTACTTACTCTGAGATAGTTTGTTCCTCAGATACTTTAATTTTTCATGACGAATCACTGGAAAATCCTTCTCCAACGTTCAAGAGTTTCCTGGATCAAGTCACTGATATTTTCCCTATTCAGCTATATACTGGATTCAACTAATATTAGAATTCTAGGGCAGAGCAAGATATTTTGAGCTAACTTTCTTTGACCCCAATAGTGCCTATGAGTCAGAAATCTCCAGCTGGCTCACACATCACAATATACAGTCGAATACAATTTCTGCAATGTAATTACAGAAGAGCATGTAATATTAGCTATAACTAATGCAATTACAACACAACGGCATAATAACATATAATATTAACAATAGCATGGCTTAATATGAGTTGATCTGCATAACATGCTAAGACAGTAGTTTGGTTTTGAACATCAATGCTATATCACAAATTCCTCAATTCCATTTTAGCTTAGATTTAGAGCATTGGAAAAAGACAGCCAGTCATTTCTGAAGTAGACTGTCAAAAAGGCCCAGTCTTAATCTTTTTTTCTGAGCAATTCTGCAACCCTATTTTGGGAGCCGTATTAGCTGGCTTAACCCCTGATTTATTTCTGGGAGAAAAGCTAATTTCTGATGCTCCCTCATATCCTTCAATAGCCCCTACTTTCTTTGCATAGAACCCCTCAGGAAGAAAATGTCTATGGAGATTATCCATCATCCATGGTGATTGTCTCAGTTGAACTGAAGAAATTTCTTGAATGAGAAGCAAAACATTTTCAAGGAAAAAAACAAGAAAAACCAATTGACTTTTGAAAAGCATCTTTGGGGACACTCAAGGTAATCTGTCTGAAATTTGTTATAGATAATCTGCACCATTTGGATTGCTACTTCTAAACATTTCATCTCACTCTATTTCAACTTGAAAAAGTTATGGTATTACATCTCTGATTATGAAGGAACGGGGAGGGAGAAAAAACATTTAAGAATAACCATTACAATCCAAGATATCTGTTTCTTTCTATTTAACACGGAGTGACTGTATACCTCAGGGTGGGAAATTAATCTATGGATCTTCAACCGAGCAACCTCTCCTCCATGTATTCCCTTATTCAGAAGGTCTATTTCCTTCTCTCTTTCCAAAGAACTTACTCACAGAGATTCACATCCTGGAATGACTGGTCATAAGAGCAAGGAGCTGCTTGAAGAGATCACCTGCCTGTATGTCTTCAGCACAATCATCTTCCTTCCTGCTGTTTAAAATTTAAAGCTGAAGAAAACCACACTCCACTTCCTATGATACCAACCCCATCTCACAAGTCATCTCAGTATTTGCACAACTTCACGCTGCCAAGTGAGTTATATTTTTCAAAACATGTTCTGTAAACTATTCACTGGTGGGGGACGGTAAAAGATCTCCAGGTTGAAACTCTGCAATGGCATCCAGTTAAAACCATTCTGTTAATAGGGAATGATTCTTTCTTCAAGAGGAACCTTAAGAGTCACACAAGCTTTTCTAGATGATTTACAAACCCTCATCCTAGACAGGAATCTATCTTCAAATATTCAATGGCTGAATTTGCACAACCTGGTTTCTAAACCCAATGTTATGCTAAATCCACCCAGTCTGATGTGGGCATAGGGGGATGCCACAATGTGCATGACACAACTCTGCCTCTTTTGTATGTCTTATGTGATTGTCAGGTGCAAAGGAGCAGGATAAGGGGTGAAATCCAGCAGGTTCTGACAGGTTCTGGAGAACCGGTAGCAGAAATTTTGAGCAGTTCGGAGAACCAGCAGTGGAAATTTTGAGTAGTTCAGAGAACCAGCAAATACTTCCTCTGACTGGCCCCAGAGTGGGGTGGGAATGGAGATTTTGCAATATCCTTCCCCCAGGAGTGGGGAGGGAATGGGGATTTTGCCGTATCCTTCCCCTGGAATGGGGTAGGAATGGAGATTTTGCAGTATCCTTTCCCTGCCACTCCCACCAAGCCATGCCCACAGAACCGGTAGTAAAAAAATTTAGATTTCACCACTGAGCAGGACTATACATTAAATTGCAATTCAGAAAGATTTACTGCTTAAACTTATACACAAGAATCTAGTCAACTCTAGTTCACATCTGAATTGGTGCCAGATAAGGGTCAGTGAAATTCAAGAAAGGCTGGACTTGAATAGTTTGTGGCAATGTAAAGGTTCTAAGTTGATGATACATTTAACTCTGACACGTAGCTCTGCCTCCACTTCTCCTATAGTCATTATTTGTAAGCACACAAGGGGCAGAATTTGCACCGTGACTTTATGATGCATTTTAGTCGTTTTGATGAAATTTCAAATCACCTATGAATCACGTATTAACTAAGGTGAAAATTAACTATGCTTAACACGTTAGACAAATACAGCATGACACATGTAAACGTACTGTTTTTAAATAACTTTATTAGATTTTAAAATCAAGAGATAAAAACTAACAAGAGCAAATTATAAAGGTGGGATATAAAATAAATATAGAAGATAGACAAAAAAAGAATGAAAACAAAAGCAAAAGGCAGAAATAAAAAAATACAAAGAAGTGACATTTTTATTTTTCAACAGATATAAATGTACATTAACATTCAAAGTTTACAAGTTTATTCATTTTTCTATTATCTATTATTATTTCTAATTGTCAAAACCATATATCATAATATTATTTTCTGTTTCACAGAGGGAGTTACACAATTAAATGTATTACGAGAATGCAGCCATTACGCATTTGCTTAAAAGAGGATGTTGTCCGTTCACTTTCCATAGCATACTGTACTTTTGCCAGCAATCGGTTCCAAAGAAATCAGTTTGAGACATCAATCTACCTCATGGGTGGATAAAATGCAATGGGGCCTAAACAGCTAGAAATTAACTCAAGAACCTCAGAAAGATATTGATTTGCAGCATCTAATACATCACACCATCTCCCCGAACAATAGTTGCAACAACCATATGGATTTCTTAAATATTCTTATTAAGCTGTGAAATTTTCACCAACCTGTAAAAAAAAATATTTTCTTAAAATTTTAAAAAGGAAGTGTTTTTCCTCTTGTTATTGTTATTTAAACAACTGTCTCTTCCTTCTGCCTACAGGGATTGAATGCAAGCAGAGCGGTTTTTCAGAATCAACATTAAAGCAATTTACTATTAAAGCGCGAACTAAAAGATCCAGCCATAATTGTAATAGTCAGAAAAAGCAAATTAAAAATACACAGAATATTCAAAAAGCAAAACTATTTCCTGTCAAACTTGAGATATAGAATTTATTTATTATCTTATTCAAAGGGCATCCAAGATGTGGCCAGATGACAATAGGGACCTTGAAGTCATATTTTTCATAATCAAAAGCTACTAGATTTGGGCTGCAAAAATCTATAGCTTGCTAAACGGTAACAAAAGTATAGTGGCCCTACTATAGCCTGGTCTCTACCCATTTTAGGGGAAAACTCTCATTCATGAAAATTGTAAGCAATGCAGTAGGAAAAAAAATAACATACTATGATCAAAAACACAGTCTGAATTACTATCCCTGAAACTTTGGACCAACCGAAGTTTTTGGACTATTCTGGACTAATAGCAGTCCAAGATATAAATATATACAAAGTTAGGATACATTATAAGAACATGGACAACTGTGGCCAATCCATCTCACTCCAGGTCACTAATTTTATCAGCTGAAAATGTTGCTACATAAGGAGTTGCAGGAGACATGAGGATCCTTAGTCCGTTTGAAAGCAGCTTGATGCCTCTGTGCTGCAAAGCTGAGTTGATACAGAGTATATTCATAGCTCAAGCTGTGACGTAGCTGAAACTATTTCAGAGCTATGGTTTTCTTATCTGCAACCTATATGAAGCCTCTGGGGGAGATCATCCGTGGTTTCGGAGTGAGGTATCATCAGTACGCTGATGATACTCAACTTTTTATATCCACCCCGAAACAACCCAGTGATGCCCTCGACGTGATGTCCTATGCCTGGAAGCGGTGTGGCTCTGGATGGGGAGGAACAGGCTTCAGCTCAACCCCGCCAAGACGGAGTGGCTGTGGGTACCGGCATCTCGGTTCCAATGGAATATTCCATCGTTGGTCATAGGGGGTAAAGTGTTGCCCCCTGTTGAAAGGGCGCGCAATTTAGGCATCCTCTGGATTCACAGTTGACTTTGGAAGACCATGTTGCGACCGTGACCAGGGGCGCATTTGCACAGATTCGTCTGGTATGCCAATTGCACCCCTACCTGGACCGTGATGACCTCCGTACAGTCACTCATATGCTCGTGACCTCCCGGATCGACTACTGCAACGCTCTCTACATGGGGCTGCCCATGAAGACCACTCAGAGGCTTCAGCTGGTGCAGAATGCGGCCGCGCGGGTAGTGATGGGAGTGTCCCAACACTCTCATGTTACACCCCTCCTGCACGACCTGCATTGGCTACCGGTTGCCCTCCGGGTGAGATTCAAGGTGCTGGTTATCACCTATAAAGCCCTACATGGCTTAGGCCCAGGGTACCTGATGGACCATCTGCGGCCAGCGACAGCTCCCCATCGCCCAGTGCGTTCCCACAGGGAGGGCCTCCTTGGAGTGCCGTCGGCCAGGCAGTGTCGTCTGGCGACTCCTAGGGAACGGGCTTTCTCTGTGGGCGCACCTACCTTCTGGAATCAACTACCCCTGGAGCTCCGGGTGGCCCCTGACCTGCGCTCTTTCCGCTGTGACCTTAAGACATGGTTATTTCGTCAGGCCGGATTGGACTGAAGGGGTTTTTAAGGGGAGTTTTAATGGTTTTTAACATTTAATATTGATTTTATCTGTTTTATTGCTATGAGCCGCCCTGAGTCCTTTCTGGAGAGAGGGCGGCATATAAGCTTAATTAATTAATAAAACCATTCTGCATCACCTTTCCTCCCCAGTCCTGAACTTTTGATTATCCTGTAAGCTTGATTCTCACTTTGAAACCTAGATGTGAAGTGTCAAACTGCTTGGTTTCCTTTGCCTTCTCTTTTTTATATATATACAGGACAGGGGTGGGTTCTGCTTACCTTTACTACCGGTTTGCACATGCACAGAAGCGATTTGATGACATTGGGATCGGTGGGTGGAGCCTCCTGCTGGTTTTACTACCGGTTCTATAGAACCGGTGCGAACCGGGGGCAACAAGGAGGCACAAGGAGGTTTTTATTCTAGAGAACCTGCAGTTTGGAGTGGGTCTGTAGTTGTCAACCCTTTGAGGCAGACCAGATCAAGAAGCAGACACTGCAGGAAGTAATAATGCTACTTTATTGTTGTAGGATATATTAACAGGGAGAGCCAGTTTGATTGTAGTGGTTAAGGTTAAGAAATCAGGGGAGAATGAATTGTAGTCTTGCCAACTGTGTGACTTGGGGCTAGTTACTCTCTCTCAGCCCTAGGAAGCAATGGTAAACCACGTCTGAAAAATCCTGCCATGAAAACTGCAAGACTTCTCCAGAGCAAGACCCAATTAAACAGAAAAAATATATATTAAAAGAATTTTAAAAGCCTGCCCTTTTTAAGGACCAATAGGTCAAGGCAGGGCTGTTCTCTGTCTCACACCTTCTATTTTCTCAGGGCTAATAAAGTTCCTTCTCTGGCAACTCTTTCTCCAGGACACAAATTTCTCTAAGATGATTTTCACCTCTTCTCCTCAGCTCAGTTTCACAGGAAGTGAAGACACTACTGTCTTCACTCATCTTCAAATTGCATTTAGGAAGTGAAAATGGAGCCAGGGTAGAAGGTCCTTTGATTTAGTCAAAACTGGAAATTACCATGACCAACATTACCAGAACTCACACAAGAGGGATAGTATTAAGGGTGCATGAAGTGCTAGATCTGCTTTATACTGCTTTGGTAAGATCACATTTGGAATAGTGTGTCCATTTTTGGGCATCATAATATGAAAACAGTATTGCAACTCTGGAAAGAGTGCAGAGAAGAGCAATAAAGATAGTTGCTCTAAAACATCCAATGAATGGTTGCAGGAAGAAAGTATATTTAGTCTAATGAAGAGAAGGACTGGAGTGACATGATAGTAGTCTTCCAATATTTGAGAGGCAGTCACAAAGAGGGGAACAATCAACGCTCCAAACCACCTGAGTGCAGGACAGGAAGTTAATGAATAGAAGCTTATCAAAGGGAGATCCAAACTGGAACTAAGAAGAAATTTCCTTTCAAGAAAACAATTAATCAGTGCAACAGCTTGCCTCCATAAGTTATGGGTGCTCCATCACTGGAGATTTTTAACAAGAGATTGGACAGCTATTTGCCTGGAACAGTATAGAGCAGTGATGGTTAACCTTTTTGCTATCGCGTGCCAGGAAGGGGGGGGGCGGAGGAGGTTCGCGTGCACGTGTGACCACACCCATAATTCTATGCACCCCGCCCCGTGCATGCGACCTCCCTTCCCCCCGCTCCTAGCACACGATGGCCCGGTAGGCCCGTTTTTCTTTCTCACCTGGCTCCAGATCCTCTCTATGCATCTGGGGAGGGTGAAAACAGCCTTCCCCACAGGCCCGAAACGGCCCGTTTCCCAACTTCTGGTTGGACAGGAAGTGACTTTTTTGCTGTCCCCAGCCTCCAGAGACTCCGACGCATGTGCACCGGAGCTGAGCTGGCGTGCCAGGCAACATGGCTCCACGTGCCGCCTGTGGCATGCTTGCCATAGGTTCGCCATCACAGGTATAGAGTCTCCTGCTTAAGCAGGAGGTTGAACTAGAAGACCTCCCAAGGTCCCTTCCAACTCTGGTATTCTGTATTCAGATCTGGACATTCCTTTTAGACATCTCTTATAGAGGCCAACATAGAATGCAAGCAACATTATTAACGTCTTTTGCATGTATAATTTTTAAATGATTTTTACCTGTAAATCATTTTTTTACATGATTTACAGGTGCACGTGAAGAGCATGCATGAGGAGAACTGGTAGTAAAGCCAGTTGGAACCCACCACTGAACTGAACCAAATGGATATTTGGTTGGACAGTGGCATATAAATTTAATAAATATATAAAATAACAATGCAAAGCAAAGGAATGTTAGTAACAAGGAAAGGGGGTAGATGGAGATGAAGAAAGCTATAGGAAATAAGAAGGGAGAAACCAGGCAGATAACAAGAATAGATATATCAGACAGAATAACACACAAACTCTGATATTCTTAATATAAACTTTGTGTTTGTAGTCCCACCTTAATTACTCACTACCTCTGACTTTTGATTTGCATAAACCTACAGAAGTTGCATTCCATCTCCCTTAGGATTGCTGGTGCAGCCTCCAGAATCATAATAAACATGACTTGTATTCTATTCAACTTCTATGAAATGGATGCTCGGGTCTCAATGATTAAACAAGCCCAAAAAAGGGATTTTCTTCTAAAATCTATACCGTGATAACTATCTACAGTACCCCATGTCTTACAAGCAAAAGCAAAATGGTTTCTTACTTCTATGAAGTTTTTGAACTACATTTACAAACAAGTAAACTCTTCTAGAAAAGATGTCTCTAGTGCCTATCTTTAAAAATCCTAGTGAACACTAGATGGCAGTAAGGAGATACCAAAAATTCTCTGCTGCCATCAAATGGTTATACAGATTTATTACTGTAAAAGCTATTTGGTCTTTCTGGACTATCTCTGCTACTTTGCCAGACATTTCACTACACCAATGTTTCTTAACCTTAGCGGCTTTAAGATATGTGGACTTCAACTCTCAGAATTCGCCAGCCAGCATGGGAATTCTGGGAGTTTAAGTCCACATATCTTAAAGTTGCTGAGGTTGGGAAATACTGCACTGCCCCTTTTGGATGTCACCACAGAAAGCTTTTTTTAAGAAAAGAAATGGTGGCAAAACCAAATTGGCTGACGTATGGTAAAATTTTATCTTTTAATTCTGGTGACCAAATACTAAAGCCAAGGGAAGAACTTGAATCAGAAGGTTACGCTTGCCATTGATTTACTTATCAGCAACTGAAAGAGGTTCAAATTGGATAAAAAGTTATGGTTATGCTATGGATTTGACTTTGTTAAAAATGAATTGGAACTTTCATTATGTGGCAACGATGAACATATTATTGCTAAGATTTACAAAATGTTATTGAAATTGAATTTGGAATAGGAACATGTAAAAACATTGTATGATTCAGTGGGAATTTTTGATATAATATGATGCTTGAACAATGGGAAAATATGTGGACGAAGGGTTTAAAATTTACATTAAATTATAATCTAAAAGAGAATTTCTATAAGATGATGTATCATTGGTATTTAACACTAGATAAGTTATCTAAGATGTATAAAGGCATGTCAAATGAATGTTGGAAGTATAAAAATAAAGAAGGGACTTTTTATCATTTATGATGGACATGTGATAAAGCAAAAAAAATTTCTGGAGTATGATTCATATTTTAATACAGAAAATGGAGATAAAAACGAAACCAGAACTTTTCTTTTTGGGTCTAATGGAAAAAGAACTGGAGAAAAAAAAAGGAATTTTGTTACTATATATGTTGACAGCAGCAAGACTATTGTATGTGCAAAAATGGAAGGCCACTTTGATTCCTACCATGGAAGAATGGTTGCAGAAGTTGATGGAGTTCATGAAATGGCAAAATTGACTACTTTGATTAAAGAAAAGAACATAAATACTTTTGATTCCACATGGAAACCGCTTCTGAACTTCGTGCTTGATGTAGAAAAGAATGAAACTCTGACTTTGGGTTTTACAGATTAGATTGATAGATCTTTATGGAAATGACTTATTCATAGTATTATAGAAAAGCAAAACGCTGTGATTTGATGCCTTATTTTACTCTAACAGAGTCAGAAGTCAATGCTTCTTTTTCTTTTCCCCCCCTATCTTTCCTCACTTCCTTTCCCCTCCCTCCTCAGTGCTTTTCTATTTACTTTTGTATTTTGTATTTAATAATACTCTACAACTTAACAAAAATGTTTTTTTAAAGAGAGAAATACTGCCCTACCGTACATCAATAGCTCAAGCAATCCATGTGGAGATGCATGCTGCTTTCAGATGTATCTATCATCTCTTCTGTTGCAATATAAAACAGATTGTCTCACCTTACTTCAGACCCTGTTCAGAATTTTTGCCTTGTGGGGGCAATTCAGGACTTGGAAGCCTGGCAGTGTCACACAACCCCTTTGTGCCAAGTCAGCCTGTGTGCCACGGTTCATGCGCCGCACCAGGTTCTTCTCAAAGAGCAATGGATGGTAAGCACCCAGTGTGCAGGCATCATCAGAGAAATCCTGGTAATAGTGGCACCGATGGGATTGCCGTTGAGATGGTAGGAATTCATACACATGGACAAGTTCGCATAAGGACATCATTAGCACTGTTCCTAAAGATTGAGCAGAGAATGAGAGAGATAAGGAAATAAAGTGACTAGTACACAAGGAACTCCAGGGCTGGGAACTTCATTGCCAAGATAAGATAAGAATTCTGTCAGTTATGGCAGTCTCTTTATCTGGTTTGAAATATTGATGAGAGATCCTGTGAGCATATGCAGAATGACTCTTTCATTGGCTAAAGAGGCAGCTGTAGAATCCAGTGCTTATTAAAAAGATGAATCCAAGGTTATCCCCTGCAAGCTCCAGTCCTTTTGTTGATATGTACAGTATCGTGACCAATATACAAAAGGGATGCTGTAGGGTGTTGCACAGAGATGGGTTTCAGCAGGTTCTGACCAGTTCTGGAGAACCAGTAATGGAAATTTTGAGTAGTTCGGAGAACCAGTAGTAAAAATTCTGACTGGCCCCACCCCCATCTATTCTCTGCCTCCCGAGTCCCAGCTGATCGGGAGGAAATGGGGATTTTGCAGTAACCTTTCCATGGATTGGGGAGGGAATGGAGTTTTTACAGTATCCTTCTCCTGCCACGCCCACCAAGCCACGCCCACAGAACCGGTAGTAAAAAAAATTGAAACCCACCACTGGTGTGGCACCAACATGATGCTGCTTTCACCATTTGAATCCTATCCCATGCTGTTCTGCCCCAGCTACAGACCCCAAAGAACGCAGCACACACAAAGTCCATTCAAATCTTAATTTACTGAATAAATCAGTCTTTTACAACAATGGCTGTTAATTAATTACATTAACAGCTGCCAAGAATTCAAAGAATAATAACTGAAAACTTACTATGATTGGCAGAATGCCCAGAAGCAATTTGCAGGAAGCTGATAAGATAAGCAAGACAAGACATGAAGGTATTTGAATGAAGTTGTTCCCTGCAAATTGCTTCAGTCGGCGTTCCTCCTTAAATAGGCTAAGGGAGTGGCCAATTAGCCCCAAGCCCTACTCTTGAGGAGACCTCCTCCTGAGGAGCCACTCCTGCCTTTTGGCAGCTCTGCGTGCCTGTGCATCGAGAATAGGCTCCTCCTCTTCGTCCTCTTCACTTAAGGGAGCTTCTGGAGGTTCTGAAGGCCCTGGCTGAATTCCCACCTCTGGCACCACATCTTCTCCAGCCTTCTCATTATCCGACTCGAGTGCCAGCTGCACAGGCTACTGGCACAGCACCACACCAGCCTCCTCACTGTCTGAATCAGCTACTAGCTGCACAGGCTGCGTACGGGCCACAACACATGCTGATGCCTCTGATTAGCTTAATGCACACAGTGTGCTGGACTAGATCAAAAGTGGGTTAGATTCAGCTACATGTGGAATCTAGCAATAGAGGTGAATTACTATATAAAGTTAATTTGTTTGGATATAATTAAGGCCAGCAGATCTTAGCAATTAAAAATTCTTGCAACCTCTAGATGGCAGCAAAAATATAAAAGTTGTCTCTGTTTGCTGCCTCTAATGGTCATCTGGATTTTTGCAATTTGAATCTGGTAATCTTAGACTGGCATATTATGTAAATATAGCAACTGTGTTTTGTTAACCCAGATATAAAGTGTTATGTGAACTCAGAATAACAGAGTTGGAACTGGTCTTCTAGCCCAACCCCCTGGGACCCCCATCAGGAAACCCTATACCTCCAGTGATAGAGAACCCATAACTTCTGAAGGCAAGTCATTCCACTGGTTAATTGTTCTCACTGTTAGGAAATTTCTCCTTAGTTCTAGGTGGCTTCTCTCTTTGATTAGTTTCCATCCATTGTTTCTTGTCTTGCCTTCTGGTGCTTTGGAAAGTAGGTTGACTCCCTCTTCTTTGTGGCAGCCCCTCAAATATTGGAACACTGCTATCATGTCATCCCTGGTCCTCCTTTTCATTACATTAGACATACCCATTTCAACTACTGACATTAAATAATTTCAGGTTTACCCCCAATTTCCCCCAAATTGTAATTAGCAGAAAAAGTTTCTTGGGACTAAGGAAGGAATGCCTTCCATTTGAGCCACGCAATCTCACTCTAGGAAGTCAATAGGACAAGCCTCTTGGCGGTTACACAATCTGGTTTTCGGTTCAGTAAGTTTGATCAAAATGAAGCATGGGACAAGGAATGCAAAATAATAACTTTATGGCCACACGTATAAAGAGAGCGATTATTTGGAAACAGCAAGTGTAGAAAGCCGTTGCAAGCAAATACAAAGGATGTAGCAGTTGGGGCTACAGAGAATAGGATAGGTTGAAGAATTTTCTTTCTTACTTACCCAGCAGGCCTGAAGATGGAGGATTGCGCTGCACTTGCTCATCTGCCCCTTCCTGCACCAGCTCCCAGAGCTCCCACTGTAGCCGTGGATGCAATAGATGGAATAGCTGCCAAGGTCTTTTGGCCCGCAAGGTACGGAAGGGTTCAAAGAGGGGATAATCAGGAGACTTGTACCACTGGGAATGAAAAAGACAAATCTCTCAGGATAGGATAGACTAGACTAGGAAGTAAAAAGAAAAAGGAACATACTACCATATGTGATGGTCCTGTCCTGAGGTTCGAAAATATTGGCTAAAAATTAAAGATTGGCATATGAAGGGCACCAAATATCTAGTACTACACAAATTAACTGCTGCCAGGATTGCCTATGCTCAATGTTGGAAACAGCCATGTACACCTGCAGAGAAACTGTTCATACAAAAGATCATGAACTGCGCAGAAATGGACAAATTAACTGAGTTACTTTGATAAAGTTTAAAGTTTGAGTTTAAAAGATAGAGACATCGATATTTTACAATGTGTGGGAACAGTGGTATAACTGGATAGAATGGAGATAGATTGAAGATAGATAGTTATTAAGTACAAGTAATTGATAAAATAAGAATGTAAATATGCACAATTTAAGTTTTGTAAATAATGCACGAATTATTGTCACAAGAAAAACACCTCAATTAGCTGTTGTTGAATGAAATAATTTTTTATGTTTTTAATGTAATAAAAGTTTATTACATTATTTTTATAAAAATAAGTGTTTATAAAAAAAAGAATCATAAGGTACAACACTTAATGATAGTCCTAGGGAACAAATAAGCAATCAAATCATATTAGGAAACAGTCAATATAAATCTTAAGGATACCAGCAACAAGGTTACAGTCATACAGTCATAAGTGGGAGGAGATGGGTGATAGGAACGATGAGAAGATTATCACTGCCTAGCCAACCCCACAGACCAAAGTTATGCTTCATCTCCAAGTTTCCCCAAATTCAGTAGAGAGTTTCAGCAGCTCATAACAATGTAATGGCTGCAACTGCACCACACTATTAACCTAGTTACTGAATTAACTGAATTTCTTGGTGGGTTTACTTATTACCACAGTTGAGCTCAACATTTCCATTGCTAAGCAAGACAATTGTTTTTTTTTAACAGTTTATTTATACATTTTCTCTTTACATACATAAGTGTTGTGTGAACAGCATATTGTCTGGATCAATTTGCTTAGATAATAGTACTTTTCCAGTTCCTAATTTCTACCTCTATTACCCAACCATTGATAAAACAAGTCCCATGTTTGAAAATATTCTACATCTTCTTTTTCTTTGATGTTTAATGTCAATCTATCCATTTCTGCACAGTATTTTTTTAATTACATCTTCTTCTGTAGGCGTTTCTTCATTTTTCCAGTGCTGTGCAAATACAATTCTTTGCTGCTGTCAAAACATGCAATATTAAATATATATTCCCTTTATCATACTTTTCTGGTACTATACTATACCTAACAGAAATATTTCTGGTTTATAATCTATATGCTGCTTAACATTTTTTCTAACCATGTATGTATTTTTGTCCAATTTTTTTTTTTTTGCTTTTGCACATGTCTACCACATGTGGTAATACATGCCCGGTAAGCAAGACAATTGTTAAAGTGAATTTTGAGCCCTTTCATGACCGTTGTTAAGTGAATCACTGCAGTTGTTAACTTAGTAACACGGTTGTTAAATGAATCTGGCTTCCTCATTGACTTTGCTTGCCAGAAGGTTGCAAAAGGTAATCGCATGCTCCCAGGATACTGCAACCGTCACAAATACATGTTAGTTGCCAAGCATCCAAATTTTGATCACGTGACCATGGGGATGCTGCAATGGTTATAAGTGTGAAAAACCCTCATAAATCATTTTTTTTTTCAGTTAAATTCGAACAGTCACTTAAATGAATGGTTATAAGTCAAGGACTATGTGGGCTGAAATTTAGCCCAACCAAATTGTCACTGCGTTTTTTTATTTACCAGCTGAGCTCTTATTTCTGGACTATCAGACTTTCCGTAGCGTGCCAAGAATTGTTATCAGTAAGCTAAACTGCGCATGTCCACCCCACATTCTTCACACACTTTCCTTTGTTCTCTTGCCAGAAGGTCCGGCTGCTGAGAAAGCAGCTGGCACGAACTTTATTTCAAAATATAACTTATTAGATCAGTTAGGTGTTTTATTTTCTTTATAACAAATAAATGAGTTTTCTTAGAAAATATCTTCGGGTTTTGTTTTCTTAAAGTATACTTGCAAGGAAAAGTCTCAATCCACCCCTCGTAATCAGGTGCAATTATCCCAAAAGCAGAATGGGATTAATTAACGCCCTGACACAAATGGCCTGACTTCACAAAGCATCATAGTTTCCACAAAACAACCCTCCTACTAAATTTAGCATGTTTTTCAACAATGAAAGTTTTCTAGTTCTTTCCTGCAAGTGGAGAGAGTGAATTTGCAGAGGACTTTTGAGGACATCTCAAAAGCACAAGGGAATGGGGAAGGCTTTCTCTGCAGGAATGCCCCTTTTCATTCTGACTGAACCCCATTTGGTTTTAGAAAGAGTTGACACACCTCTTTAATTTAGCTTTTTCAATATCATTTTGATAGTTTTAACTTAGAGATTTTTGAGATCTTCAATTGAATTATGTCTATATGACACACTGAGTTAAAAAATAATAATAAATGATACATGCCGCTTTTATACCCTGTTTCCCCGAAAATAAGACATCCCCTGATAAAAAGCCCAATCGGGCTTTTGAGCGCATGTGCTAAAATAAGCCTCCCCCTGAAAAATAAGCCCTCCCCGAAAATATTTAACTACAGAGCTGGAAATCAGGTAAGACGACAAGAGGAGCCCCATCTTGTTCCACGTGCCCCAAAATAATAAGACCTTCCCGAAAATAAGGCCAAGCGCTTATATTGGGGTTCAAAAAATATAAGACAGGGTCTTATTTTCAGGGAAACACGGTATCCTCTATCTAGTACCGTGATGCCGAACCTATGGCACACGTGCCACAGGTGACACGCGGAGCCATATCTGTGGGCACATGAGCATTGCCTTAGCTCAGCTCCAGTGCGCATGTGCATGCCCACCAGCTGATTTTTGGGCCTTTTGAGCCTACCAGAAGTGAGGAATAGGCTGTTTCCAGTCTCCGGAGGACCTCTGGGGGGAGGGGAAGGCCATTTTCATCCTCCCCAGGCTCCAAGAAAGCCTCTGGAGCCTGGGGAGGGTAAAAAATGGGTCTACTGGGCCCACCATGCCATTGCGTGCCAAAAATGGAGGGAGCATGGGGGGCAGGGCGCATTGAATTATGAGTGTGGGCACATGCACACGTAGCCCCTCCACACTCCCCCGACTTTTGGCACACGACGGCAAAAAGGTTAGCCATCACTGATCTAGTATGATAAATCAACCTTTATTGCTCTCTGGGTCATTGGATTCACTTACCACAATAATTTGAGTTTCCAGAAACTGGGATTTATATTCTAGGCTTTTTAATAGTTATAAATGTGGTTTCCAGAAAATCAAAAAAGGCAGTTTTCATCTGTAGGGGTCAAAAGGCAGTACGTGTGCTTGTTAACTGAATTTTTTATCCTACTATGTCATTGAAATACAGTTCTGTGTCTCTGAAATAGAAAATTATCCTTGGTACATCCTGCAACTATGAGTGAGCCTGCTCTGGGGAAGAAATTCTAGACTTTAGATATGGTTTATTAATGTGTGTGTATGTGTGTTTGTGTGCACGCATGTGTGTGTAGGAGAGAGGGAGAGGGGGAGGGAAGGAGGGAGGGAGGGAGGGAGAGACGCTGCAGCTGAATTAGAACACAGTGCTTCTAAAAGTGGCCAAGCACATTCATTCATTAGATTTATATCCCATTTTTGATTTAGAATCTCAAGGCAGTATTCATAGCACTCTTTTCTCCAATTTTTTTTTTCCCCTACAGTGACAATCTATAATATAAGACTGATCGGGCCATTTATTCAACTCAGACCAAAGTCATCTAATGAACTTTTATGCCTGAGCGTGGACTGGAATTTGGATGTCCAACTCCAACAAAAAGGGTCCGTTTATCCATTATGGTTTACCATACATGATCTCTTTTTAATTTGTTCTCACTGTTAGGGAATTTCTCCTTCGTTCTAGGTTGCTTATCTTCTTGATTAGTTTCCATCTATTGCTTCTGGTCTTGCCTTCAGGTGCTTTGGAGAATAGGACCCCCTCTTTTTTGTGGCAGCTCCTCAAATATTGGAACACTGCTATCCATATCCAATTCCTGCAACTGTTTTTCATATGTTTTAGCCTCCAGATCTTTAATCGTCTTTGTTGCTCTATTGTTTAGTGCAGAAGAATTCAGACAAAGCAGAACACAGAAGATGCCATTTGCAGCATTTTTTGGGTGACTGTTTGCAGAAACATCTATCAGAGAGCACCAAGGACCCCACAGTTCATCCTTTCTATCAGTTTCAAAAAATATTCCCAGTTGGCGTCTGTAACTCCATTTTCTAACTGTGAGTTTTTGTTTTTTTGTTTTTGTTTTTGTTTTTGCTTTAATTTATATGCCCCCCTTCTCCGGAGACTCAGGGCGGCTTACAATGCGTTAAGCAATAGCCTTCATACTTTTGTATATTTATACAAAGTCATCTTATTGCCCCCACAATCTGGGTCCTCATTTTACCTACCTTAGAAAGGATGGAAGGCTGAGTCAACCTTGAGCCTGGTGAGATTTGAACTTGCAGTAATTGCAAGCAGCAGATGTTAGTAACAGTGCTTTAGTCCACTGTACTACAGGCTCTTTGTTCACTAATTATGCTTTTTTGGGGGGGGTGGGGGGAGCATTCACATTCATGAAACATATGCACCTGTTAAGTTAGAAAAAGCATATATTAAATTAATATACTTGAATTAGATTGTGTTTATTTATTTGTTTGTTGTTTATTCAATCAATTTCTATAGCTGCCCAACCCAACCAAGTGACTTTGGTTTTGCCTTTTTGTGGAACCAGAGCTAAAGGTTGGTTGCTGAATGCTGGATGTAATAAGATATGATGCCTGAGAATAAAACATAATGCTTTGCAAATGTCAAACACTGAGCAAAATGCACAAGAATGTATGTTTCCTTGGTTGTTTAATGTTTTTATGGATTAACAGATACAGTGCTACCTTGATACTCATCATTAATTGGTCCTGGGAGGCCCAATAACTACCAAAAATGATGAGTAACAAATTCATTTTTCCCATAAGGAATAATATACTGAGTCACAAAGCAGCCGACACCAACAAGTTCTAGCTTGTGCGTTGAGTACCAATCAAACGCTGAGTACCGGAACAAAAAATTTGCATCAAAATGCATTGAATATCAAATTTGATGAGTTTCAAAGCAGTAAAGTTACAAGATTTCACTGTAAATAAAATTTGTTGTAAGATTAGAGATGTATTATTTAATATTTCAGTATTTTTTGTAAGGAAACATAAAAAGGTAAAGATAAAGGTTCCCCTCGCACATATGTGCTAGTCGTTCCCAACTCTAGGAGGCGGTGCTCATCTCTGTTTCAAAGCCGAAGAACCAGTGCTGTCCGAAGACATCTCCGTGGTCATGTGGCCGGCATGACTAAATGCCAAAGGCGCATGGAACACAGTTATCTTCCCACCAAAGGTGGTCCCTATTTTTCTACTTGCATTTTTTACATGCTTTCGAACTACTAGGTTGGCAGAAGCTGGGACAAATAACGGGAGCTCATCCCATTATGCGGCACTAGGGATTCGAACCGCTGAACTGCTGACCTTTCGATCAACAAGCTCAGCATCTTAGCCACTGAGCTACCGCATCTGTAAGAAGACATGGTTTTGATTAAAAGCACAAATGATTTTGCAGAAAATTTAGATACACTATATCAGTGGTCTCCAATCTTTGCAGTTGGCAGAGCAGCAGAGCTGGCCTGAGAGGGGATAGTTTTGTGTATGTAGGTGCCACTTTCACAAATGCAGCTTTGTGCGCATGTACTAACCCACCACTTTTACAGCCCAGTTTCAAATGGGCCATGGACTGGTACCGGGCCATGGGCCGGGGTTGTGGACCCCTGCACTATATGATGCAACCAGAAGTATGGATCTGGAAATTAAAATATCAAAGACCAAAATAGTTGTATTTTATATGCAGTATTTTTCGGAGTATAAGACGCACCGGACTATAAGATGCACCTAACTTTTTTGGTGGGGAAAACAAGAAAAAGAAATCTGCCTCTGCCTCCCAGTAATTTTGCCCTGTTGCAGCAAACAGCAAACAGCCTGCTTTACTTTCATTTTCGTTTTCAGCATAGCTTGATTAGCACAAGGAGAAAAAAAATCTGCTCCAGCAATTTACCTCCTTGCAGCAAACAGCAGAGGCCCACGCAAAACAGTTGAGAGCAAAACAACTGAGAGTCAGGAGGCCAATCCAATCAACTTGTGCTAATTAGGCTGTGCTGAAGCTGAAAGGAGCTGTTTCTTCTTGCTGCAAGGAAGTAACTGCTGGGAGGCAGAAGCCAAAGGGTGGGGGCCAGTGGGTGGGCGGGGCAACATTCGGTGTATAAGATGCACCTAAATTTTCACCTCCTTTTAGGGGGAAAAAAGGTGCGTCTTATCCCCCGAAAAATACGATAAATGTCTCTCCCATATATTCACCCAAACAAACACATTTACACAGGAAATACAAATCTTGCCCTAAATGTATGTCAATTAAAACTCTGGCCAAGTTGGGTTTCATGCCAATCCAACAGAAAGATAATAGTACTTATATCTAGGTCCATTTTCAATCATCATACAGTTCATTCATTCTAGTTATAGGTTGCTTAACTCAGTGATTCTGGATAGCTTACAATTGAAAAGTAAAAAGCTACAAAAGACTGCTTTTAGTCGTGTTTCCCCCAAACATAAGGCTGGGTCTTATATTAATTTTTGCTTCAAAAACACATTAGGGCTTATTTTCCGATTAGGTCTTATTTTCAGGGAAATGTGGCACTAAATGCGTCAGTCTGGCTGACAATCTTAACTGGGGTTTATTTTGGGGGTAGGGCTTATATTACGAGCATCCTGAAAAATCATCCTAGTAAAGTAGTAAAGTAATAAATAAAGTAAAAGCGGGTCCAGCTAGATGATCATTGAAGGACCCTCTTTGTTCATAATATTGTAGAAGAGAAATTGTGCTTGCAAATGTATCCAGCACATAGGCAAACACATTCCTTTCAAGTAGGATTTGTAAAACAAAGCCCCTCAGTTGTCACAGATAAAGACAGTCTGGTGATTTACATTTTGAAGGTCAGAGAGACGGAGATGACCATATTATTGTTTCATCTAGAAGATAATTTGAATCTATGCTTCAGTGATTTCTAAAAAGAATTATAACTGTTTTGCAAAGATAGTAACAAACTCAGTAATTAAGGTATGTCATTTTGTGTAGTTAATGTCTGTAGTGATAAGAAATGCTGACTTCACAGAATCCTTTGTCTGACCATGTATAAAGACTGAGATTTTCTTTCATGCTTTTGTTCAGACTCTTTGGTAAAGATACTGGTCTGATCCTTTATTGCAATAAATAAATAAACTGATTCTGTCTGCCCTGAAGGGATGTTTCTTTAATTCCTTCTTCCACAACACTAGGACTTATTGTCCGGTTGGGTCTTATTTTCGGGAAACCCGGTCTATACCTCTAATGGGAAAAAAAATATTTAGAGGATCAAAGAACACCATACTTCATTCATTCTCCTTCTATAACTTGCTGAATCTCTTTAATTCTCTACAGAAAAGGAACATTTTATAGCACAAAGTTCTGAAATCATTGTTAGACTTTGGGACTGATTTTTTTCATCCTTGGGTTTATTGTTTTTAGGATAGCAATCTGTTTTAAGTGTTATGTTTTGAAGGGAAAAAGTAAAAATTCATTGCAGTAGCTGCTGGATCTTGAATGCGCTGGGAGCTAAACGTATGTGGCTCATGAGCCATATGTTAATGTTATGTATGTATGTGTGCACAGATTCCCTTCTATCCTAGAGTACAGATCAGTGGTGGGTTCCTCCCGGTTCGACCTGGTTCTCCTGAGCCGGTAGCGGTGACGATATGATGTCACCGAACCAGTTCTGCCCCCTGCCCCCCCACATTATTCTTATCTTTTATTTGGCCCCACCCCCAATCTATTGCTGCCTCCTGAGTCCCAGCTGATGGCTAGAGGGAAAAAAACTGTTTAAACTCTTGCCCGAGGCTTCAAAGGGACGCCCTACATCTGATCAGTGTTAAAAGGAAACAAATGAGTAGACCAGTGCCTGCAAAAATACATGAGTAGATCAGTGCCTGCAAAAATAAATGGGTAGACCAGTGCCTGCAAAAATACATGAGTAGATCAGTGCCTGCAAAAATAAATGGGTAGACCAGTGCCTGCAAAAATACATGAGTAGATCAGTAATAAATGGGTAGACCAGTGCCAGCAAAAAATAAATGGGTAGATCGGTACAGCTCTGCAAGCAGTTAAAAGCCTGGTAGACCAGTACCTCTGCTAAATCCTAAATAATTGTCACATGACCATCAAGCCACACCCACAAAATAAGCCACGCCCACAGAACCAGTAGTAAAAAAATTTAGAACCCACCCCTGGTACAGATATTAAAGAGACTATGTTCATACAATGCAGATAATTGTTGTCTTGTTGCCCCAGTGAATTACAGGTAGCGCTCTACTTACAACAGTTCATTTACTGACTGTACAAAATTACAAAGGCACTGAAAAAGTGATTTATGACAGTTTTTCACATTTACAACCACTGCAGCATTCCCATGGTCACGTGATCAAAATTTGGATGCTTGGCAACTGACATGTATTTATGCAGTTGCAATGCTCTGGAATCATGTGATCACCTTTTGCGACCTTCTGACAAGCAAAGCCAATAGAGAAGCCAGATTCACTTAACAACCATCTTACTAGCTTAACAACTGCAGTAATTCACTTAACAACAGTCTCAAGAAAGGTCGTGAAACGGGGCAAAATTCACATAACAACTCTCACTTAGCAACAGAAATTTTGGGCTCAATTTTGGCTGTAAGTCAAGGACCACCTGTATATTATAGCTTAAGAAGTCGGCCTGGCTCACACAAGATGCTATGATAACATATGAGAGCCACAGGTTACCTCAGCCCCATATCAGCCTAGGCTAGCATATAATGTGATCCTACCTAGAGAATCTCACCTCTTCTAGGTCCCCAGGGTAAGGGGCTGGATCCCACGCGACCAGAGTTCCCTGGGCATAGAGTTGTCCTTCCAGAAAATGCTGCTCTGGAGAAGCCATCAGCTGTGAAGAAAAATGTGGATGAGAACATTTTTTTAACCCACAAATTCAAGCCAACCATGCAGCCGCAAGGAAAACAATCTAGTGACGTTCATGGCAAGCCTGGCCAATTTATTTGAATAAGAGTACTTCCCCTTCGTTTAGAAATAACTCAGAAACAGGAATATCCTACATTTTACAAGAATTGCCCAGAAGCACCTTATATATTTGCATAGAGGGAGAGCCCCAAATGTCAGAGTCTACTTCTTTTGTGGTATGCATTTTTTTCTCTCTACCCTTTTATATTTGTGCTGCTGCATTCTAAGCGATTCGCCCTAATGCCTTTGGTTGACAATGCTAAATGCGGACATCTTCAAGCAGCACTTTGCAGATTTGCTGGCGGTGATCTGACTAGGTCCGAATTACACAGAGTATCATTCAACTTCTTTGGAACTCCTTAAAGGCAGCTATGGGAATAGTTGTATAGAAATATACTTGCATATCAGAATTATCCGTAGGCCTTGCCACAGCAGGGAAATAGGATGTTGACGTCATCTGGAAAGTCCCGACTGCCCAGGCCAAGAAATACCTACATGATTATTCTCGTACCAGCCTGGGAAGGGTCTACATAACTACTATAATATGAGTGTATGCAACCCGATCATGTAACCACCCCCAATCCCGCCTTGCTATGATGCTGTATAATGAGTTTTATGAATTTCTAATAAAAGGGGGTGACGGAGTCAGCTCTGGGCTCCCATCCCGAGATATCTGTTTGCGTGTCTCATTTCTCTCATGGGAGACCACCACATCTGGTGACCCCGACGTGATCTCGTGAAATGGATACATCTCAGTGTGAGTCCGCAAGGGAATACGTCCCTGCCGACCCTCTACTTATCGCCTGGAATAGGCACGGTGCACCCGACGACGTCGCTGGCGACTGACTCTTCTTTTCGTAAGTATGGGGGTTGGAATGTCTGCAGCTCAGAAAACTCATGTAGAAGAGTTGAGACAATTGGGCAGGAAAAAATATCTCTCTCCTCAAGAACAAAATTTTACCAAATCTCTTTCTAAAAGTGAGGCTGTTAAATTACTTGCTTATGTGTGGGCTCTATGTCCGTCCTATCCAAAGGGCGGATCTCTAAAAACGGAGACATGGAAGAAGATTGGCGAAGTCTTCCACCAACCTCCTCGGGTGGCGCCCGACATTCTGTGCCTTTGGAAAAAAGCCTATACCTTGATTCAAAACCACACTGGTTCACCTCACCAGCCTTTATTAGATCCGGCGCCATACCGGACTCCTTCGGTCATGGTGACTACCCCGCTGCCCTTAGTTGTGCGCCCCCTTTCACCCACGGCTCCCGAAGCCCCGGTTCCTCTTGCCGCTGCCCCTGCTCCTGTTTCTCAACCTGGTCTTATTCGCGGGGCATACCAAAAAGCCTTAAAATCCGGCACTTTAGATGCTGCCGATCTAGCCGACACCGAGTTGTTCCCGTTCATTTTTCCTTTTTCTTTTTTTCTTTCTTTTTTTTTTATTGAAAAAGTTTTTCAAATACAGATTTTCCCCCACTTTTTCCCCCCCTCCTCCCTAACCCCCCTCCCCCTCCCCTTTTCTGCTATTCGCCAGGGGGCGACAGAGTCATACGCTGACTTCGTTAACCGCTTGCAACTCGCAGTAACCCACCAAATTTCCAACCAAGAAGCGGCAAAAGAAATTTTGATGAAACTTGCTTTTGAACATGCGAATGCGGATTGTCAATCTGTTCTCAAGCCATTAGTCTCTAACCCGGCCTCCACTCTGGCGGATTTTCTTAAAGCTTGCCGTGTTATCAGCACCCAAACCTACCAGATGGATACATTGGCCGCAGCCCTAAAAAAGGGGAACCAACCTCAAGGCACTTGTTTCAATTGTGGAAAACCTGGCCATTTCAAAAAACAGTGCCACGCCCCAGGTGGCGGTGCTGCCCGCCCCCTACCTAACTTCAGTGCCAAACCAAAGACAGTATGCCCTAAATGTAAAAAGGGCTACCATTGGGCCAATCAATGTCGAGCTTTCCCTCGAAATCAGGGAAACTAATAACGGGACTTGCAGCTAGCCCCCCTCCAAAGGCTGCACCCTCTCTTTCCTGTGGCAACATTTCCTTCTCTCCTGTCACTTCCTCTCCGCTTTCCGCCCTGCCCTGCTGCCAAGGCATGGATCTGAAACTTCTTGCTGACACTTCTGTTGATTTTCCTAATCTCCTTGTTGTCGCCGACGCCCAGTTGCCCGGCCCGCTCCCACCGGATGTTACTGCAACTGTTCTCCCAGTGGCGGCGGCCCGCCAACGAGGCATCTTTGTCCTTCCTTCTGTGATTGATCCTCCACCCCAAAATTGTGTTCAGATTCAATTCTATACCAATGTCCCTGTATTGGCGAAAAAAGGGGATATTGTTGCTCGGTTGGTACTGTTACCTAAGGATGTGTCGGCTTCCTCTGTGGAACCCCCGCCCACCGAGCTCTTAGCTCTTACAAAGCCAATCACTCCCCAGAAACCGATTATGCCGTTTTTAATTAACGGCATTCTCTTTTCTGGCCTTTTAGATTCTGGCACTGACATTTCAGTCATAAGAACAGCGGAATGGCCCTCTCAATGGCCCCTTGAACCATTTCGAGCGGTGCAGGGAGTGGACGGCACACAACAGGCAAGTTCCAGTAAAATTTGGCTCACAATACAACATGTTACAAAAGGAATTACGGCACAAATCAAGCCAGTTGTCCTGCCCCTTCACATTAATTTATGGGGCAGAGATCTTATTTCACAATTTGATGCAAAACTTATTTTGGAGGACGAGCAATGTCTCCAACTCCCTGAAACTTACTCTGCTCTCCCCTACACCTGTCTGGATAGATCAATGGCCACTTACCAGTGAAAAATTAATTGCATTACAACAGCTGGTGGATGACCAACTGTGCTCCGGACATTTGGAGTTAACCACTAGCCCATACAATGCTCCAGTATTTGTGGTCAAGAAGAAATCAAGGAAATGGAGATTAATTCAGGATCTTCGCGCTGTCAATGCCATCGTTAAGCCAATGGGCCCACTTCAATGCGGGATGCCCAACCCAAATCTGATTCCTAAAGATTATGATTTAGTGGTCATTGATCTCAAGGACGCCTTTTTTACTATCCCATTGCATAATAACGATAAGGAACTTTTTGCTTTTTCGATCCCTCAAACTAATATGTCTCGCCCTACCCCGCGCTATCAATGGACTGTCTTACCTCAAGGCATGCTCAACAGTCCCACAATGTGTCAATTTTATGTCGACGCAGTTCTTTCGCCTTTTTGTACTTCTCACCCTCATTTGCTGCTTTATCACTACATGGATGATATCCTCATGGCCGCCCCGGGTCCTCCCGGCACGGTCCGACCTTTTCTCCCTGAACTGATTCAGCACCTGTCCTCTCATGGGTTTCAGGTGGCTCCAGAAAAAAATCAGACCCACCCACCTTTCTCATATCTGGGTCATAAGGTCTTAACCTCCTCCTCTTCACCCACCCTGCCTCATATTGTTCTTCTGAATCCTCTTACTCTTGTGGCCGTCCAGCAGATATTGGGCGCGATAAATTTTGTCCGCCCGTTTCTTGCACTCACCACGGCCCAACTTTCCCCTCTTTTCCTGGCCCTCAAAGGCCCTTCATCTCCCTCATCAGTCATTGTTTTGACTGATCCTCAAAAGCATGTGCTCACCCTCATTGACTCCGCGATGGCCACTTGTTGGGTGGATCGAGCCATCCCTAATGAACCTGTATCCCTTGTACTTTTTAACACCCCCTCTATCCCAACCGTTGCCCTCATTCAATATAAAAAGGGCACTGTTGCCGTCCTGGAATGGATGCATCTTCCTAATACTCGGCGCAAATCTATTAAACCCTTGCATTATATGTTCGCTTTGCTCATTACCAAAGGCCAGTTTCGAGCAAAGTGTCTCATTGGCTTTGACGTTACTTTCTTGTTTGTTCCTATGTCCCTCACCACTTGGGAACCCCTGTATGCTACCTCTGATTCCCTGCAACTTTCTTTGGCAGAATGGGCGGGCAGTGTCTCCTGTCATGTCCCGTCTGACCCTCGCTTTCAACTCCTTCACAATGTTCCGATGTTTTTCCATTCCACTCTTTCCTCATCCCCAATCTCTAATGCTGTCACTGTGTATGTAGACGGCAGCAAATCTTATGGAGCTTGTGTGGAAAGAGGGGGCCCAGTGGCAGACCAAAATCACCCCTCCTCAAACTTCTGCTCAGCGGGCCAAATTAGCCGCTACCATCTTGGCTTTTCAAACTTCCCCACCTCTCCCTTCAATCTTATCCTTGACAGCCTTTATGTTTACAAGGTTCTCACATCCTTGTCGGACTCCTATATCTCCCCATCTCTTGATGATAATATTTTAAGTTTATTTATAACCCTACAATCCCTTCTTCATGCTAGGACTGAACCCTTTTTTCCAGCCCATATCAGAAGTCACCAACCATTTCCTGGTATTATTCAAGAGGGAAACTCTCAGGCTGATGCTGCAGCAGCCGCTGCCCTTACTGCCCCTTCTGATCTCTCTATTCTCTCCTTGCCCCCTATTACCCCGTGGCTAGCCACTCTTACTTTCACCAAAATCGTAAGGCCTTAATGAAACAATTCTCTCTCTCTGCAACGGAGGCCTCTGCTATTATTCAACAATGCCCCACTTGCAGCTTACAAGCGCACTCTGTCCCCCTGGGGGTCAACCCCCGGGGCACGGAGAGTTATCAATTATGGCAAATGGATGTCACGTTGTATACATCATTTGCCCCCTGGAAGTATGTTCATGTTTCTATTGATACGTACTCAGGGTTTATTATGGCCTCCGTGCAGCGGGGTGAAGCCACCAAACATGTTATTAATCATTGTATTCGGACTTTTAGTATTCTGGGCAACCCCAAACAATTAAAAATGGACAATGCCCCTGCATATACTAGTGCTGCCTTTGCACACTTTTGCCAACGGGCTAATCA